AAGCCTGTAATCGTCTTGTTTTGGCTATGGAAAATGGCATTGAAAGCTGAAGCCTGGGCCAGCATTTTTTCAAATTTATGACAATTAAAATTCATCTAAGGTGGTTTTTATTGCTGTTTTGTTTGAGACACAGTCTCATCATGTAACTCTGACTAGACTGTCACTTCGCACTATTTAGATCAGGCTGGCTGCAAACTTGAGAGATCTGCCTGCCTCTGCCTCCCAAGTGCAGGAATTAAAGGCTTGTACAGCCACACCCGGTCTAGGGGCTGGAAGTGTATGTAGCTCTCAATGTAGAGTATTTATTTGTATAGGATACAAGAGAACTCAGCTAAGAAAACTACAGTTCTAACTGGACACTCTGCTTCATATAATGTGAACAAAAGCATAATTAACACCTTAGTATTTCTTTAAGTGATTCTCATCAATATTTCCCATCCTAATTTCTTATTTTTCCCCTTTAATGCTGGTCCCAATCACTAAATTGATTTTCCATCCTTAGTAGTTACTGCAGTCTACCATTTGAGAAAGCTGGCCTGAGCAGGGATGAATCAAACTGGCTTATTCACAGTACACTGGCATATACTCATTTATTTGACTTTTATTCTCAAGAAAGGATGGGAGTAGGGAGATAGATAGCCTTAGAAATAGAGGCTGTAGAAAGATGGCCATGTTCCACCTCTGCTGGGTGGGGTCTTAGTCTTACAAATCCCCTTAATTTGATCTCCTGGATTTCAGTTGGGAGCCATTAGGGAAAGAGTTCAGTTCTTACACTAGCAGATTCTCACTGGATGGAAGACACTCACCCTCAGAGGGCTCAGACAGCTGCTTGCCTTGCTCAGTGACCTGTAGGCTCATGGGAATTTCCAGAAATTTCTCATAGCACTTTCCATACCACACAAGCAGCTCCTGGTTCTGGTGGATCTCCCTGCAGCTCTCATAAAATATCTGCCCTTGATGCTGGACTGCAACCAGGTTCTGCTCCTTGGGGAAGCGCGCACAATTGACATAGGACATCCAGTTCCCAGAACCTTTTCCATCGACAAAATGGCTCAGGTTGCCATCTTCAAAGATCTAAATACAGTAAGACATGAAGTTTGCTTTTTGTGTTTATTTTTTTTTTTTTGAGACAGCATCTTGCTATGTACCCAAGGCTGGCCGCAAACTTGTGACTCTGCCACAGTTTCCTGAGTTCAGGGACTATATATAGGAGCACCCTGCCATTCCCAAATAGGCATGAACTTTTGATTTTTACTTGTTCTCTTTTTGGCTGATCTATAAAATAAAATTTAAATGTTATAACCAAAGTTCCTACTACAAAACACATTTCTATAAATCATATTTCCATTTCAGAAGTAGCATATAAACTCCTTAAGCTTTTCTTTTTTGGACAGGGTCTCATGTAGCCCAGGTGGGACTCGAATTTAAAGTATAGTCAAGGATGGCCTTGAATTTCTAATCCACCCACTACCACCTCTGGAGTTGCTGTGTGCCTCAGAGCTGAGAAATGAATCCAGCTTTTTAGGTATGCCAGGGAAGCATTCTCTCCAGTTCCTCCATAGATTATGTAACAACACATTTTTTTTTAAAGGATTCATGGGGGGAGGGCGTGTAAGGACTGTACATGCCTTTAATCCCAGCACTCGGGGGCAGAGGCAGGTGGACCTCTGTGAATTCAAGGCCAGCCTGGTCTACAAAGCAAGTTCCAAGTTTAATCCCAGCACTCGGGGGCAGAGGCAGGTGGACCTCTGTGAATTCAAGGCCAGCCTGGTCTACAAAGCAAGTTCCAAGATAGCAAGGGCTACACACAGGGAAACCTTGCCTGAAAAACAAACAAACAAACAAAAACCAAAATGGACTCATGCCTTTATCTTTTGTTTGTTGTTTTTTTGTTTTTGTTTTTGTTTTTCGAGACAGGAAACAGGGTTCCTCTGTGTAGCTTTGGAGCCTATCCTGGCACTTGCTCTGGAGACCAGGCTGGCCTCAAACTCACAGAGATCCACCTGCCTGTGCCTCCCCAGTGCTCGGATTAAGGGCGTGCGCCACCCGCCACCAACGCCCGGCCTCCCTTACCCATTTTTGACCCCTGAGTTTCTATGGTTAGCATATGTTAATTTTATAAGCAAGAGTAGAGGAAATAAATAGGTTTCAGTTAATCCCAACTTTAAAATGGTGCTGATGAATTATCCCTGACTATGATGTAGGCATCGGGATGGAGCTGCAGTTCATCCCTCCTAGGGATACAACTTCAGCATTCCATCTATTTCATTGGAAACAACTGTTTGACCCAGGTCTTCCACATTGCCTGAACTTCAGATTATCTTCCTATATTCCAGAGAAGCTCAGGGTCAAGGTATTGAGGAGTTTTTAGGTTATCTGGTATATTCTGAGAAATGGTTTCTGTAAATGAATCACCACTGCTTTCTCACCAGCCTCCCTTAGACAGTCATGAACTTGGAAAGTGTCAGGACTGTTTTGTTAATCCCTGGCTAATTTGTTTTTTTTTTTTTTTTTTTCTAGACAGGATTTCACTGTAGCTTTGAAGCCTATCCTGGCACTCTCTCTGTAGAACAGGCTGGCCTCAAACTCACAGAGATCCCCCTGCCTCTGCCTCCTGAGTGCTGGGATTAAAGGTGTGTGCCACCAACTCCTGGCTAATTTGATAAGAAAGTAATATGATAAGCTTTATTTTTCTTTTGAGCACTCTCTCATATTTAAAGCACTAGGTTTCACAAGACATCTAACAAAAGTATAAAACACTAATGTCAGGTTTTTTTGTTGTTGTTGTTTTTTAGACTTCAGTCACTGGCATATCCTTCATAAAGACTAGCATTGTGAGTGTTAGGAATGAATATGAGCTGGGCGTTGGTGGCACACAATCCCAGCACTTGGGAGGCAGAGGCAGGCGGATCTCTGTGAGTTCGAGGCCAGCCTGGTCTCCAGAGCGAGTGCCAGGATAGGCTCCAAAGCTACACAGAGAAACCCTGTCTCGAGAAACAAAACAAAACAAAACAAAAAAAGGAATGAATATGAGCAGAACTCATACATGTTGGGTGTCGTCAAGTGAGAGGCCAACCTTAAAATGGTTCCTAAAGTAAATTGTTTGAAGAAGTCCCAGAAACCTTCCGGTAGAAAACTTTGATTTGTCATGACTATTTGACTTTAATCCGAGGAGAGAGAAAAGAACAAAGGCCTGATAATAATTACAACCAGACTGGGAAAGAAATCTTGGACCCATGTGACCTGGATGGAGTACAACAGAATCAAACCCCTTTAAATAAAAATCTGTCTATTTTTATACATTAAACTAAAAGAAAACCCAAAAACAAAAAAAAAAAATCAAGCACTAGGTTTCGTTCATAAAGTATAACATACTGTGGTAATTCTTTAAATATACACTTCGTAGCTGTTCTGTACAGATTAAAATTTTTTCACCCACTACAAAGAAGATTTCACTCCTGCTGGAGTGACCCCCATTGCCTTTCTCAGCGGGGGGCAAATCTGGAGTACCTCCCGACCTCAGGTGACCCTGTCCAATTTCAGCAAACCCACTAGAAACGCACTCACCTCCCACATCCTAGAGTTGTCCCTGTGTGTCTTAACTTCGCTGGCATTTACCACTTTCCCTTGAAAGGGTCCAAATCTCACTCCTTCAGCAATGAAGTTACTACAGAACACGCCAAAGTGTGGGACATCACCAAATTCTGTCTGCATGAGGCAGAGACCTAGGAGAACCCAAGGAATGGGAGGAAAGGAAAATGAGCCCTGTGATTCAGCATCAGTTCTGAGAAATCAATCCAGGCAAGTAGTACAGCCTACCTTCCGGAAGCTGAAGGGAGTCTTTATCCAGGATTTTAGGAAGACAGTTAGACCCTAGAAAAAGACAGCCTTACATTATTCTAATTAACAATAAACGTGAGATGTAATGAGTTGCCTTCCTGAGCCCCCTCCTTCATTCAGATCTAATGTATATCTACCCTTCATTGCTTTTCTTGCTCCTTTGACACAGCCTTTTTGCTCACACTTGTTCGGTTGTCACTCAGAACACCCTTTGGGTAAGGTTTAGTGGGTAATGGACTCCCCTTTGCAAACTTGAGACTCAAGAGACAAAGCTTTTCCGAAGTCAAAAGCTGCTGGGTAGGAATTTCTGGAGGCTATCACGATGCTTTGTACATCCCTCAAAGCCACTGAGTACAACCATTTTCCTTCAGAGCTCACTGAAACCAACCTCAAGAATTACAGTTAATTAAGTTAATCGAGGAAGACCTGAGAAGCCAGGAGGTTCTGACTGATACCCACCGTCCCTAAATTAGATCCACTTTGAAGTCCGCTTTTTAACACTTTGTGGCCCAGACCTGTTCCACGCCACCCAGACCCTTGATGTAGATTTCCTTACCAGAGCTGTCTGGAGGGATCAGGATGCCTGAAATTGCATGGTGTATGCCAGCTGGGTGCCCCGGACTAGAGATGACCCCATACAGAACGAAGTGCAGTTCCTCCTCACTGAAGTTGAATTTAGGAAGCGTTAGCTCCCCTTCTCGGTTCAGGGTTTGAGGGACCAATACGGACTGGGGGGTCTTCAGTCCATCAGGTAAGAGGGAAGAATTGACCGGGGGTGGCAGAAGTAAATTTTCAGCTCCGCGCCACTGGCTTCTGTTGCTTTGGCCCCCAAAGGGGACCAAATCTTGGCTGCTGGAAGTGCTGCTCGAGTACTCGGGGCTGTCTAGAAATCGTGGTACCTCGGGAGTAAAGTGAGGAGTTGTGTACCATGGTGACTTGTTGTACCAGGGCAGATTGTAGAGTGGCTCGCTCTGCACAGCCAGACCAGGGTTCAGCAAGGGAGTAGCCATCCGAAAAGCATTGAGAGGGGCCATCGCCTGGGAAGCCGGCATTGCAGCCGCCAGCTTCCCGAAAGTTTGAAAATCCTCGGTAGTGGCGAGGTTCCTATAGTGACTGCAACCGGGGAAGGACGAATAGTAGGCAGCCAGGTGCTGGTGGCTACGCTGGGGCATATTGTTCACCTTGTGCTGGGACTCGCTGCCTCCCCGAAGCGGTAGGGCCATCGCAGGCTGAGCTCCACGGGTCTGCGGGAAACCGAGGCTGCTGAGTGCACAGGTCTTAGGTGGTCTTACCTATTTTCCCTTTCCCACCCCAGTCAGCCCCAGGTCAAAGTAAATGGACAGACTTCCCAATTCAATCCCGCCAACACTAACGCGAAAAAAAAATGCAAATGGAACAAAACCCAAAGGCCTGAAACATCTAA